TCACAAGGAATATAGGCAGATGTACAGAACTGACATTTGAATGGCAAGGATGGCAAGAAGAGCTGGCAACTTGTATGTACTTGTGGAATCCAAATTGGTGTTTGTCCTCAGGATCAGAGGTATCAGTGGTGTAAGCCCAAAGGTCCAAAAGGTGTTGCAGCTTCTTCACCTTCGTCAGAGCTTTAGTGGAACCTTTGCGAAGCTCAACAAGGCTTCAGTTAACATGCTGAGGATTGTAGAACCATATATTGCATGGGGGTACCCAAATCTGAAGTCAGTAAATGAACTAATCTACAAGCATGGTTATGGCAAAATCAATGAGAAGTGAATTGCATGGCAAAACCAATGAGAAGTGAATTGCTTTGACAGATAATGCTTTGATTGCTTGATCTTTGGTAAATATGGCGTCATCTGCATGGAGGATCTGATTCATGAGATCTATACTGTTGAAAAATGCTTCAAAGAAGCAAAGAACTTCCTGTGGCCCTTCAAATTATCTTCTCCATGAGGCGGAATGAAGACAAAGGCCACTCATTTTGTAGAAGGTGGTGATGCTGGCAGCAGGGAGGACCAGACCATCAGGCTTATTAGAAGAATGAACTAAGGTTCATTCTTCTAATGAACTACTATGATTATTTTTCTAAGCTGGTCAGTTAATAAACAGTACCTGCTCTCAGATAAAGAATAACTTTTCTTCAAATATCTGGTCAATAAATGAAGTTCTACTGAAGAAACTCAGGGAGCATCCTAGCTGAAATTTTATTAAAAAGTAACTTTTATTTGAAAATTATCAAATAAAATGCAAATTACCTGCATCTTTCCTCTTTATTTACTGTGATCATATAAGAAAACTAGGCAACACATACAGAGTTTTGGACTTTCTAAGAACTTGCTAAGTTTGTGAGACAAAATGTCACGAGGAGCAGCGGCATCCTCGCCAAGGCTGTCTGCTTCCATTGCCCTTACTTACAGCCCACGCTGTATAGGAATCTCAAACTCTCCATGTTCAGTCTCCTAAGAATTTCTGTGTTCCAGCTCCAATGCAGACGCAATGGGGTCTCTTCTTTAGTCTTCCCTGTCAAAAACATCACTTCAACGTCCAGCTTTGGAACTGAGCAGTTAAAACGATTATTCCACACAATTAAACATTTTTCAAAACAATTAAAAATATTGCATATCGATATCGACATTCTCTTTTGAAATAAGTTGCATGAAAATTCCTTTTTAGTAGTCCAGCAAAGGATTGAATCCATTTTTTTCCCTTGCTCTTTCGTTTAAAGATAATTTTCAAATGAAAGTTACATGTTAATAAAAATCTAGCTTATGGCTCCCTGGCGCGCTTTCCCTTCCTTCCCAACAGAAAGGACAGAATGTCTGCGGCCTCTGCAGGGCCCGGGGTACACAGGTTCAGCGGACAGATCGCTTTCCTACGTGAGAACCCATGGCCAACACTCCAGCGTCCCCATAGGGCTACGCGTCAGACCCGGATCCGCCGCAAGGGGGCGCGCGGGTGCAGCCGGAGGTGGGAGTGGGCGGCTGTGCACGCGGCTTTGGCGGTGCTGGGCTATCTGGGGGCTGCAGGGCTAGGGACTAGGTCAGGGCTGCATGGGCTTGGGGGCTCCTTAGCGGCGCTCTCTCCTCTGGAGGCTGCGGAGTGGCGGGGCAACCCCTTCCCAAGCTGTTTTTCCCTCCCTGGGGCTTCTAATTTTTATTTTATCAAGTTCTGGGTTACAAGTGCAGACTTGCAGGCTTATTACATAGGTATACATGTGCCCTGGTGGTTTGCTGCACCTATCAACTCGTCATCTAGGTTTTAAGCCCCACATGCATTAGATATTTGTCCTAATGCTCTCCCTCCCCAAAGACTTCTAATTTGTTTGTTTGTTTTTGAGTCTCCCTCTGGTCACTTAGGCTGGAGTACAGTGGCGCCACCTGGCTTACTACAACCTCCGCCTCCCCTGTTCAAACGATTCTTCTGCCTCAGCCTCCCGAGTAGCTGGGATTATAGGCGCCCACCATCACACCCTATTTTTTTTTTTCGAACAGGAGTGTACTATGTTGGTCAGGTTGGTCTCAAACTTCTGACCTCAAGTTATCCACCCGCCTCAGCCTTCTTAAGGATTGGGATTAGAGTTTTGAGTCACCACGCCCGGCTTGGGGCTTCTCATTTTTAAAGGTATCCAACACGCCTCTCTCCGCACACTCCACTGGATCTCTAGCGACCAGGCCGGGCTTCAGACAACGGGGGACAGGGATGTTCGCTGTCACAGGGACCAGACCAGCCCACCCCTTACTTGCTACCCGTTTGCCAATTGTGTTTTGTTTTGTTTTTTTTTTGGGGGGGGGTAGTGTAAAACATATATAACATAAACTTTACCATTTTAACCATTTTTAAGTGTGCAATCCACTGGTAAGTGCATTCACAATGCTGTGTAGCCATCTCCACTGTCCACCCCCAGAATTTATTCATCATCCCAAACTGCAGCTATGGAACGCCAACTCTTCATTCTCCTTTCTCTCAGCTCCAGATAGCCTCTATTATATTCTACTTTCTATCTCTAAGACTTTATCTACTCTAGCCACTTCCTACAAGTGGAATCATGTAATATTTGTCCTTTTGTGCCTGACTTGTTTGGCTTAGCCTATGTCCTTAGGGTTCATCGGCATTGTAGCCTGTGTCAAAATTTCCTTCGTTTTTAAGGCAGAATAATATTCTTTTGTATGTGTAATGCCACATTTTGTGTACTATTCATCTGTTGATGGACATTTCGGTTGTTGGCTGTAGTGAATAATGCTGCTGTGAAACAAATACCTGTTTGAGTCCGTGCTTTTCATTCTTTTGTGTATTTACCTAGAAGTGGAATCATGGTAGTTCTCTTCAACTTTGCGAGGAACCGCCACAGCTGCTGCAGTATTCTTTTTAATAAGTTAAACAATTTGTTAATTTTGTTGTCTACAGGACTTGAAGTTTGAAGCTGGGGGGTGTCTCTATTCAGTCTTCTGGGTGAGTTTCCCTGGGAGGAAAAATGATTTCTTTAAGGTCATTACTAGGTAGGGAAAGTCATTCCTAGAAACCAATTCTCTTTTCTATAAAACTTAGGAAAGGAGATATCTAGCACATGTTTCACTTTAGGGGTGTAAGGATTAATGTGGCTGTTATTCATTCTTTCAACAAGTAGTTATTGATTTCCTAATGGGTGAAGGGCGATGTCCTACACGATGGGGTTTGTGAGTATTTAATGAACCCAGGTCTCTGTGCCTTGGTTGAAGTCCTGGAGAGCTACATGGACTTCTTTAGTCTTGATTACAACCCAGCAAATGCCTCAGTGCTTTCTTGACAGATCCAAGGGATGTGCACATATTGAAAATGTGTTTCCATCCTTGAGCATGTTGATCTGATTATTCTGTGAAACAACAGAAGGCCAATTTGTTTGGAGAATTCTTTAAAATCAAATCCATGTTTCTCAGTTTTTTTTTTTTTTTTTAAACTAACGAGGTGTTGCTCGGTCACCCAAACTGGAGTGCAGTGGCACAATCAAAACTTGTAACTTCAAACTCTTGGGCTCCAGCAGTTCTCCCACCTCCACCTCCTGAGTAGCTAGGACTGCAGCACACACCTCTATTCCTGGCTAATTTCTTTTAATTTTAATTTTTGTAGAGATGGGGGTCTCACTATGTTGCCCAGGCTAGTCTCAAATTCCTAGCCTCAGGCAATCCTCTTGTCTTGGCCTCCCAAACTGCTGCTATTACAGGTATGAGCCACCATGCCCAGTCTGAATCTGCATCTTTCTTGACCTTCAGAATATTCTAGGTCTTTTCACGTGTGTGTGTGTGTGTGTGTGTGTGTGTGTGTGTGTGAGATTCCAAGCATATGTATGTATGGTATATCACAGATCGGAGCCATTACTCAATTTTATAAAACAATATATGAAGAATATTTAGAATCTTAGCATGTACTTTAATGAAAGACAAAGTTTAGTAACAAGAGACTGAGACTCTTGATTTTATGCCTCCCAGGCCTAAGGCCACCCTTTCCGAGATTCAAGGGACATTTGATTCAGACCAGCCTCAGGCACTTCCTGGTGAAGCAGACCTGTGAGTTTTAGGTTGGAATAGAAGCCAGTGAGGAAGGTGTGGCTCAAAGGCAATCCCTAATATACAGGCGTCTCCCCTGAGCTTTCTTCCTGCTTCCAAGTCCTCACGTTTCCCCAGTTCGGTGCCCCTGCAGGATCCCAGGTTTGGGAACAGGGAAACTGGAGTGATGTCCTCCCCTCTCATGTGTTTCTGAGGATGAATCGGGGGTGGCCCAGAGCTTGTTGGGGCTGGATGCTTGGAGGTGGGTCAAGCGAGAGCTACCAAATGCACTGTTTCGGGGTCTTGGCATTGAAGCCACTGGGATTTTAACTCAGAGCCCTGAGTTTTATTTCCCATTTGCTTTAGATTAGTGGTTGCCAGACCTTACAAACACAGTCACCTGGGGAGATTTTAAGCTGGAGCAATGCTCAAGCTGGCTCTTCGCTCCCAGAGATTTCCATTGAACTGGCCTCGTTGGTGCCCAAGTTTCCCAGGTGATTCTCATGTGCAGCCAGCTTGAGAAGCACTGCTTTGAAGGATTTCAAGGGCTGATTTAATCCTCCAATGTTTCTGAGTCCTAGATGTTCTTATCTATAAAATTATGTCCTCTCTTTTATATGTGTGTGTGTGTGTGTGTGTGTGTGTGTGTGTGTGTGTGTGTATCTGAAAACCTACCTCTTTGTGATCTATCTGATTTCCCTTCCTTTTAGAAGCTAATCTATAGCTCTTTTTTCCCTCTCTAGAAGGCCCCTGCACTCTCTTCTTTGTAGAAGGAGTAATATTTGTAGCTGATGTTGGCCCTGAAGGCATGCAGAATCACTTCGTGGTTTTTGGACTTGGCTTTCTGGTTTAGATTCTGAGACTGAGTTGCCTGATTGTTTTCAAAGAGGCAATGACATCATTTGTTTTTATTTCTATTTTTGAAGGTGAAGGAATTTGCGCCTAATGTCGAACAGATGCTCATCGTTAATCACTTGAAAGGGAGCCCAACAGAAAGAAGAGAGATATCCCGGAGGAAGGTGCCAGGAGAGCCCGGAGGGACGTCCAAGACTTGGCAGACCTGAACTTCAGTGAGCTTGATGCTGTCATTACACCTGGTGAGTTAGCTGAAAACTGTGAGGCCAACTGTTCATTTTAATTAAAGCTCACTGACTTTAAAACCTTCCTGAAGGAATGATGCCGGCTCAGCTGCCATTTTGAAATCTTCTGTGCCAGGCTCCAGGTCGGTGGTTCTCAAATTGTGCTGTACATGAGAATTACTTGGAGCTTTTAAAAACTCCAGGTGCATGGGTCATACCTTATGCCAGCAACATGATACTCTCTAGGGCTTGGAAACCAATATTAGTGTTTATGCTCTCCAAGAGATTTCCTAATGCCCTGCGTAGGGTGACCAGTGGTTTTCAAAGTTGGCTGCACATTGGAATCACCTGGTAGGCTTCAAAAACCATCAATGCCTGTATCCTACCTCCAGAGATGGTGATTTCATTGGCCTGGGGTATGGCCTGGTTTTTGGAATTTTGAAAAGATTCCCAAATGATTCTCGTGTACAGACAAATTTGGGAACTAGTGCTCTACACCAGTGCCTCTTCGGCTTCGTTGGAGGCATGACTCACCCGGAGGTCTTGTTACAATGCAGATTCTGATTTGGCTTCCAGGCAACAGCTAGGGTGTGGCAGGCACACCACCCTTTGAGGCCTTGAGACTTTGAAAATTAGAGGTTTTGCCTGTTTCTGGACCTTTTTGGGCAGAAATCAGTTTTAGATTGGCAACACTCCCTTTTCAAATAAAATATTTAAAATTAGTCTTTTATTCTATTTATGATCAATAAAACCATAACTCAATCTTTTATTCAGCTAAAAGATTGATTTACTAGGCTAGGTATGGTGGCTCACGCCTGTAATCCCAGCACTTTGGGAGGCCGAGGTGGCCGGATCACTTGAGGTCAGGAGTTGGAGATCAGCCTGGCCAACATGGTGAAACACCGTATCTACTAAAAATAGAAAAAATTATCTGGGCGTGGTGGTATGTGCCTGTAATCCCATCTATTCGGAGGCTGAAGCAGGAGAACTGCTTGAATCTGGTAGGTGGAGGTTGCAGTGAGCTCAGTGAGCTGAGATCACGCCACTGCACTCCAGCCTGGGTGACAGAGTGAGACTCCGCCTCAAAACAAACAAAACAAAACAGAAGATTGATTTACTTAAAAGATTGATTTATGAGTATAATTATCTCAGATATTTTTCTTTGACTTTTTTTTGTTTAATTCCCTTCATAAAGAATAGTATGTCCTATATTTATCTTTTTCAAACTAAACAAAGTTAGTTTTATTGCCAGATTATATCAGTTTATTCACCATGTTTCTGAAGTTTTTGGAGACACTTCAGAGATGTCCCACAGTGAGAACTGGGAACCATTGTGTTGGATCAGGAGTGTGTGTTGCTTGTTGCTATCTATACATATCTACCAAATAGGTTGCTTACTGCTATTTTACATATATAGTGTTCCAGACATTTATTGCTTACATTTCATGGCTTAATAATTTATTGTCTTTCTTGGTTCTGTGGGTTGAGTAGTGCAGATGTCAAAGGAAAGCTTCCCCTTTGCCATCTTAAGATTCTTGGAAAAATTAGCCCACATCAGGTAGATTAATTGGAGAAAAAGCATACAAATTAAATTAATGTGTACACCAGGTGAATCACAGAGTGATTGCCCATCCCCCAAGGGGGGTCAAAAGCTTATACATCAAACTGGCAAAACAGGTTATAGGAAGGGGTGGAAGAATTCCATTGAGGGGATGTCTAGGGACAATGAATGAATGGATCAGGGAACAGAGATTAACTTGCAGGTTATCTTGTGAAAGAGTCTGATCAGGTGTGGTTACAGTCTTGGTCTTAGGGAGAGGGGTAGAAAACCTTTTGCTAGGTCTGTATCTTAGGCAGATAAAGGAGCCCTAACACTAGCTGGGTTAGCTGGGTTTTGCTTGGGATGTCTGATGATGTTGCAGTGAGGTAGAGGCAGGGGCTGCAGTTATCTGAAGGCTTGGCTGGGCTGGGTGTCCACATCTGTGTCTTCACTCTCATGCCTGGTGCCTGGGCTGGGATGGCTGAAGAGCTGAAGGCTGGCAGTGCAGCCACGTGACCACTGGCAATCCTGGGGTTCTGCATAAGTCATAGACCTCAGGGTGGTCAGGCTTCTTCTATGTGAGTTTGACGTTCCCCAGAACAAGCATTCTAAGTGTGAAAAGATAAACTTAGGCACATTCACATTTTAACAAGTTTATTTGAGTGGACAACTCATGAATTGGGTAACTCTAGATGTTCATGGAAGCAAGACAAAAAAAATAAATGAGTGGTTAAAGTGAAAAGTTACTAGTTAGAAGTTTGTTGGGAATTTCTGATTGGTAAGATCTCTAGTTAGAGGTTGGTGGGTGGGTTTTGATTGGTTAAGCTTAAGTGTCGTTTTCCTGGTTAAGCTTAAGTGTCGTGACCATTCACTCTGAGTTGGGTTTCAGGCTGCTTTTGTAGGAACCCAAAATGCTGAGTCCTCTCAGACTTTGGGCTGAGCCTCTCAGTTCCCTCAGTTAAGAATTTTAGTACAAGAGACTTGGGCTTTCCTCTTACAATCTAGCCATGAGGTCTCTCTGCATCACTGCTGCAGCTTTCAATGGATCAAAAGTGAGATCCCATTCAAGGAGAGAGAACCCCAAAAGGGCATAAATACCACAAGGCATGGATATTGAGTAACTGTCTATAGGTATTGGATAACTGTCTATGGATAACTATCCATGGATATTGGATAACTGTCTTTGGAGACATGCTACATATTATGAGTAAAATGTAAGTTTAAATCTCTATCTATAAAACCCCAGAGAGAAAGGGCAAGGAAGATTCATTTTGAGTTGCAGGTGTTTTGAGAATTCACTCTTTTCTTCCATTGCTACTATGGTTATCCTGAGGGAAGTTTGTAAAGGTTATTTCTCCTGAGATGTGGTGCTAATATTAGTGTCTTCACATCTAAGGCAGTATTACTAGCAAATTTATCTCAAAATTACTGCTACTTAAAAATCCTTTTATTTTAGCACATAAAGATAGATTTTTGTTTTTAAAATGTATGGAGTTCTCTCAAAGGCTTTTTAAAAGATATAGTTCTACTTTGTACCAAACTGGAAATATTTAGCAAAAATTAGCATCATGATAGGTGTTCCAGCTTGTGTCTTCAGAATTTCATACTGTTGATGCAAAATATTTATTTATTATTGTTAGGTTAATATAAACCTTGTATGTCTATTGAGTGCACTTGCTACAAGGCTACATTGAAGCTATGTAACATCTTTAACGATTGGGTGTGTTTTAGCATTTGTTATCAATTTTTTACAAAAAGATCTCTGAACAACCCTGATGATTATAGGTTGTGGTACTTTTTTTTTTTTTTGATACAGATTCAACTGTGTCACCCAGGCTGGAGTGCAGTGGTGTGATCTTGGCTCACTGCAACCTCTGCCTCCAGGGTTCAAGCAATTCTCCTGCCTCGGCCTCTCCAGTAGGGCGTGCCCTACCATGCCTGGCTAATTTATGTGTTTTTAGTAGAGACAAGGTTTCACCACATTGGTCAGGCTGGTCTCGAACTCCTCTCCTTGTGATCTGTCCACCTTGGCCTCCCAAAGTGCTGGTATTACAGGTGTGAGCCACTGTGCCCGGCCTCGATACTGACTTTTTAAAACAAAGTTAATGAAAAAGAAAAAAGCGTTGGGAGACTGAGGTGGGTGGATCACCTGAGGTCAGGAGTTTGAGACCAGCCTGAACAATATGGTGAAACCCCATCTCTACTAAAAAAAATTGCGGGGAGTGGCTACGGGAGGGATAGTGGGAGGAAGGATGGGGGAGGGATAACAGGGAGAAATGTCAGGTATAGGTGATGGGGGGATGGTGGCAACAAACCACCTTGCCATGAATGTACCTATGCAACAATCTTGCATGATCTGCACATGTGCCCCAGAATCTAAAGTACAATAAATAATAAAAAAAACAAACAAAAACAAAGTGAATGAATTAATTCAAAGTCATTATCAACTCTAGAAGACATTAAAGAAATACTGTTTTTACATCCTAACCACATATGTTATGTGTTGCTCTTCTATGCCCTTATTCTTTGCCTGAGATTTGTTCATCTGTTCTTCCTTTGTTGTCCCTGCTGGTGGCCTTGGCGTAGCCCAGAGCTGCCCTGGATGGGAAGGACTACTCTGTCGGCAGTTCTGTGAAAGGCCCTTCAAGCCTTCTATTGTGCTAGGAAGCCCAGCCACTGCTGCTGCATTTCCCGTAGGTTGGCAGCTGAAACCTCCTGCTTGGGAAGTCACAGTGGGTCAGGATAATAATGTGGACAGAGGGAAAGACAAGGATAGTAAGCTCCCTGCTGAGACAGCAGGTCCTAAAGTACTTTCCTATTTTCCTTCCTGCACATGAATATAGGCATGATTGCTTGACAAATTGTCTTTTTTTTTTTTTTTTTGAAACAGAATCTTGCTCTGTCTTCTAGGCTGGAGGGCAGTGTAGTGCAGTGCAGTGGCATGATCTTGACTCACTGCAACCTCGACTTCCTGGGCTCAAGCAGCCCTTCCACCTTAGCCTCCCAAGTAGCTAGGACCATAGGTGTGCACCACCACGCCTGGCTAATTTTGTAATTTTTGTAGAGATGGGGTTTTGCCATGTTATCCATGCTGGTCTTAAACTCCTGGGCTCAAGTGACCACCCCCACCACCCCTGCCTTGGCCTCTCAGAGTGCTAGGTAAATTATCTTTCATTATGGGGCTGCAGCATTTGGTGATTGGCATTAGGGTAGAGGTGGTAAGGGGCTATGGTTTAAGGTGATAAGTCCAGATGGTTTAAATGATATGGAAGATATATTCTTTTAAACTATTAATACATTGGCTTACTTTGAAAGAAAAAAAATTTCAGTGTAGCAATTCTGTTATATCATTCAGCTGTAGGAATCAAGTGGCACTGCTTTAATTATTTCCTATTGATCCTAGTACATTTAGCCTTCACTTATCTTACTAACTGGGTATTTAAGTGAAGCCTCATGTTGGGACATATTTCTTATGTGC